TCATTGTCAATCTTTGTTTAAAGAAAATCATCTTATCCATTTGAAAGAACAATCTGGCTTGATATGCAAAATATTTTCTAAGTCATTACTTTATAATCTGTAAATTTTAATAAGGAAAAAGAAATAAAATGTAATTTGCGAAGTTAGGAAATACATTTAATTTTTAAAAATACATCATGTCTTTTTTATGTTACATTCTGACATGAATTATAAAATATGTTATCAGTGTTATCAGCGATAATAATTTATTTCAACCAATGCATACAATTAAAATTTTAGTGAGTTAACATAACATGATGAAAGTATTTAAATTAAAATAACAAATTTTTGTCTTGTTATTTGTCCCTTTATCTTATTTTTAAAAAAAAGTATTGCGAAATTCCATATAAGAACATACTGTCTACCAGTTGTTTGAAACATTGATAGCTCTCGACAGCTACTTGTAATTTTATATTAAAAAAATTAATTGATATTCACAAAAAGAATGATTCCCTTTTTATTTCTCGAAATCAAAATTAAATACATATAATGATAATAATAAATAGCCACACCTTTTATAATCCTATAACAATTATTTAATAATTGGACCTATTATTAATAATAGAACCTATAATAACCTAATTAATATTTTCTTCAATAATAAATGTACAGTAATAAATATAAAGCTTCCTAAATAAATATTAATATCCAAACAATTTTTCCTATGTAATAAAATAATAAGAAATATATTCTTCGGCTTATAAATTTTATTTAATAACGGAATTTCTAAAAGATAATTTTAGTTTTGATCCAAAAAATTATTTTTTGCATGAAATGTATTAAATATATAATTAAATCATTTAATATATATAATTAAATTCGCTTGAAATTATTACAAAAAATTATTTTAAAATGAAAGCGATTAAAGCGAAAATTAAAGCGATCTGTTTGCAAACATTGGCGTGAAAGAAATGCGCCAAATCCGATGCACGCGCTTTATTAGAAAAGGAGTAAAAATATCAGAATATTTGTATCGATATGAAATTTAATTGTAATGAAAATGCCTATCAATGTTAACTACATTATAATCTATTAATTTAAATAAAAATATATAAAAATAATTGATATTTTGCTAGTTAAAAACCAATTAATTTCATTCCATAACTTGACGTGCTAACATATAAATCGAAAATAAATGTTTATAATTGAATATAAAAGAATAAAAATCTTTCTTGCTAAATTTAAAAGGTCCTCCTTTAATGAATTTTTCGTTGCATCCAAATGCACAGCAGTATACCAGCATTTTTTTTAAATTTCATAGTTAAAAACACAGCTCATCAATTCACCTCCATAGGAAAAGAATGGGGAGAGGGTTTACTGGAGGGAAAATCGTCCAGAGGAATCACGTGACGATGTTCTTTGCAACGAGGGATGGGGGACTGGTTCTCTCTACCTAAATTACTCCTCTAAGGTCTAGACCCTATAATATGNCACCTAACACGCTCAAAATGTTTCCCCCACAGAGTTACAGAGGCTATAGGGTTATCTTTTTGTGGGTACGATCTGGCGCGTTTGCTAATAAGCCATGAATATTTTATCCTAGATCATTTGCAGCAATGTCAGCCACAAGTGCGACCGGAAGTAATAATTTCTTTTTCCGAAGTTCCCAGAGAGGAGGTAGAATGCTAGTGCACAACGAATATACCTATAGTTTTAAGAGACAAAACAACGGAGTAGAATTTTGGCGTTGCAGACATTCCAAGCCTCATTGCTCTGCACGCCTTCGAACCAAAAATAATAAAATAATTTCAGGATCAGGGCCTCATAATCATGAAAATGATGCAAAGGCGATCAAGGAATGGATATTTATTACAAAGGGCATGGAACGAGAAGCTGTTTATAAAAATGCCGTTCCTGTCAAGAGAATGTGCGAGTAAGTCTTTATTTGATTATGTCTCTATAATGAATTTAAAGTTCATGTTAAATTAACTACATTTGTTCCCAAACGAGGAATGTATTTAAATTTTGTTAACTATTAAATTTAATAAAAATTAAATATTTTTAAGAACTATGCGTAGAACATTAAATTAGCTGAATAATTCATAGTCAGAAATTCAGCGGAAAAGAAAATATTTTTAATGAGTTCGTCGAATGGCTGGATTATTGTATATTAAGATGAAGTCTTAATAGTCTTAGGCGATTAATATGCTAATGAAAATAGCGGTACGAGACTTCAATATCAATAATGGTAATCAGCTAAAGTAGGAATTCACTATGAATGTGGTCACATAAATGAAAAATCAAAATAATATATAAAATAATGTAGCAATATCTATCATTAAAATTTATTCATGTAATTTTATATGAAGCATGATGTACAATATTGTTATTTAAATACTATCCATTAGAAATTAAAAGTCGCACAAAAAGCTATCAAGCTAAACAAGGTTTAATAATCTATTTTGATAATTTCAAAAATGTTTCTTTTTTTATTTTTATTACTTATATATACATNCCCCCCCCACGAAACGGGGGTGTTATTTACACCAGTGGCTCATGATTAATTGCACTATGTAGGGGTGCACAATCTGCTGCCATGCCCGCAGCAGTGCTAGAACATAATTAAAATAACTGTAATTTTTTTCAGGGATGGGGGGGGATATAATTTAAATAAACTTTGAATATAATTACTGTAACATAGTGAGATATTTTCTCGTATTATTAAGATGAATTTCATTGAAAATGTGGCAAGTTTATACAACGTTCCAATTTAGTACTTTTCTTTCCATCGCAAGAATTAATTTCTTATTAATTAAAATCAAAATAATTTAAGTTAATATAATTAAAATAAAATGCGCGATCATAAATTCCCGAATGTACCTTCCTTATTGTTTTTGTTCCACATTATAATTTTAAAAATTTAAGTTAAGTCTAAAGGCCTGTTTAGACGATCCAATTTCTTGGGCAGAGATTGATTGATATTGATGGAAATTTGTTTTGCTTTGAGCTTGGATCGGGTAAACAGTCATCCAAAAACTTGGTCCAACTTCTTGTACGATAGTAGAGCATGTTCTACTTTCCATCCAAGTTTTTTCTCCCTTAATCAATCAGCTTCTTAAGTTTTGTGATGTCACCAATCAGACATCAGATTGTGACATTTTGTTGTTTGTTTTCATATATTTCAGTGAAAATAAGTAAAGGCCTGTTTACACGGTCCAATTTCTTGAATCCGAGAAATTGGACGGATTTTTCTGCCCAAGAAATTGGATGATTCGTTGACACTATCCAAGTTCTTGAGTGTCACTGATTCGTTGAAAAAAAACTTGCGCATGCGCATTGTTCATATTCAACATTATAAAATAATACTTACATAAGTTTAAAATTACTAAATAAATTCAAATAAAATCATAATAACGCAAATAAACCGCAACAGATCAATTTATTTGGACTAAAATATATGAAAACCGACAACAAAATGGCATAATTTGCTTCCTGCTTGTTGACGTCACAAAACCTAAGACGCTGATTGGTTAAGGGAGAAAAAACTTGGATGGAAAGTAGAACATGCTCTTGGTCCAAGAACTTGGACCAAGTTCTTGGATGATTGTTTACACGATCCAAGCTCAAAGCAAAACAAGTTTCCATCAGTATCAATCAATCTCTGTCCAAGAAATTGGATCGTCTAAACAGGTCTTTAATCTGTTACGATCTATTTGTGTTATTATGATTTTATTTGAATTTAGTCATGTAAGTATGATTTTATAATGTTGAACATGAACAATGCGCAAGTTTTTCTTCTGACCAATCAGTGGCATTCAAGAACTTGGATAGTGTCGACGAATCATCCAATTTCTTGGACAGAGAAATTCTACCAATTTCTCCGATTCAAGACCTTGGACCGTATAAACAGGCCTTAAGATAGAGCACATTTATAAACCTTGCAGGGGACGCACCTAAGTCTATGTATGTCACTAGAAAAGAGTTCCAAGAATGTGCTACATGTTGACTAAATAAGTGACTGAGTTAAGTGCTACATGTTGACTAAATAAGTGACTCCTGCCTGGATTTACTATTCAAAGCAATGATATTGATAGCAAGAAAGTTTTTTCCCTCTTGCCTTCATATGATGAATTAATTCATCATATGAAGGCAAGAAGGAAAAAACTTTCTTAAGTTACAATGAAATTGCTGGAACCCCTTGGAGCTGGAGCTCCAAGGGGTTCCAGCAATTTCATTGTATCCTACAGTTAGTTTTTCCAAAGGCATGCCACATTGCCCATTAGTATAGACGGTGTAGAAAAATTATTCTTGGATTTAAAATAGATTTATAATGATTTAAGATCAAATATGAAGAAGGATTTATTAAATTTAATTCTTTTCTTAGGAATGAACAAATAACTCAACTGTTAATTAAATTAAATTTAATTTAAAGTCAGAAAAACAACTCCAGCAGAAAACAAGAACCATAATGGCTAATAGTAGAAATTAGCAACTTAGTGTTTATTATCGTGTATTTTACTACATTTATCATATATTTTTACAACTTTTTTCAATAAAGCCGCTTTTTTAGCGTTCCTTCTCGCTCCCGTGAAAATGACGGGGTGAGGTTTCGCCCTCTATTTCTCGCTCCCGTGATATTTCCTGGCTGTAGTGTTCAGTAGTAACACGCCAATAAGAATAAAACTAATTAATTTCTTTTTCCCAGAAAACATTTTATTTCTCATTTTGCACACCAGATGGCAGTTTCAGGATATTTTTAAGGCAATTGTAGATACTTAGTTTATTTAAACTAAATGTCAGCACTAATCAATTTTCAGAGATAAAAAATAGGCACTTTTATGACCGTTTTCTTGAAAGGTAACCGATCGTTAAGGGGTTAATCTCATCCTTGGCTTTATTTAATTTTGGCACATTTGAATATTTTTTTTTTTTTACATTAACTTAAGCTTAAACTTAAAGCTAAAAGTTATGTTCTAAAAAGTGAATAATTGTTTTAGCTAATTAGAATATTTCTTTTTTAGAACATCTCTATGTGCTGCAACTAAATCAGAAATTTCAGCAAAATTTCCAAGCTTCGAGAACATTAGACACTCACTTCAGAACGAAAGAAATAAGGTAATAAATTACTTTTCTCAAGTTTAGTTTTCAAAGCATCAAGAGTAAAAAAAAAAAAAAAAATCCGCANAAAAAAAAAAAAAAAAAAAAAAAAAAAAAAAAAAAAAAAAACTCTGTAACAGCCCGTTGTGGGCCAGAGGGCAATGGTGGATAAGGCTACACAATTCTTTAACCATCGGCATGATTGTGGCAATGTAGTCAGCACTGTGCACAGGCCGCTTTTACTTTCCTGACAAGCTGGTACCCGTCAATCTGAAGCTGGGTGGGCTTCAAATCTCCACTGAGAAACAAGCACCAGTTTTTCGTAATAGCAGTTTCAATATTAATTAAAATTAATATAAATGAAGCCAAACAAAGTAAATGAAGCACAAATGATGGGCACAGTTGCAGAACGAACCCCAGCTCTTAACAATGCCTTAAACACTGAACCCAGTGCCTTAAGCACTGAAACATCGCAGCCCATCAAATGTCAAATCATAAGATAATTGGTTTGATTGAAAAATTGCTTACTGTATAGTGCACAAAATTCCGAAAGGAAAGAAATCTGTTTACGAAAATATAAACATGTAACCTTATATTAATTTAAGAAGGTAAATTAAAAATTGTTTACTAAAGTATAATCATTTATCCGTTTCATCTTATTTTAATATAAGAAGATAGATTAAAAGTTGTTTATAAACGTGTAATTATGTATTCGTATTGTCTTATTTTAATATAAGTAAATAAACTAAAAGTTGTTTATAAAAGTGCAATTATACATATGCACTGTTATTCCATACGCATGAAATAGTATAATACAGGTAGTGTTTTCCAACACATTGACGTCCCGCAGTGGACTGATCGTTAAGACACGGTTCCCATCAGATCACCGAAGTCAAGCATCCCTGGCTGCGGTCAGTTTGCGGGCGGGTGACCACTTGGATCAGTCTGCGTAGGGACCGAAGGTGTGCGGTATTGGTCCTCGTTAAACTGTGCTACCGTAAAGTGCTCGACTTCGCGTGCAGGTCGTCGGGCTACCGAAGCGGGGGTGTCATCCCCTCTGCAGAGGATCAAAATGGTGATGGCATGTCTTCGGATCATCCTCCGGGATGTTTCCCAAACCGTCGCCAATAGCCCATTGTGCAGCTCTAGGGCGACGTAAATGAACAACAACAACAACCAACACATTGACTTAGTTAATTATGCTGAATGTCGAGATCATGAATAAGATATTAGTTTATTCCAACGCAACTCCTCTCTTTTTTTAACTAATCATTCTAATCTAAAAGGGTTTCGGGTGACGTGAGGCATTTAATGACTATTTTAAGATACGTGTTTTTGCGAACAGTTGAATCAAATGTAAGACAATTACTTGGCGAAAGATATTCGAAAAACACAGTAGAAAATTTACCGGCTTTTTCTTCTGGCTCCACTAAAATCGGCAACCCTACTCTGTTGATCGATATTTCCCGCATCTTTCGTTCCTCCGTATACATCGTCTGGCGCGTCACAAATACGATACCACGGAACAGATTTCCGCATCGATTGTTATGAGAAATTTGTTCTATTGATGATATAGAATGCACGAGAGATGTTCGATTGCACATTCTATTAATAATGATAGCTGCTTTAAATTAAAATGGAAATCGGCGGGTAAAAAGGAAAACAAGCTTAACTAAGATTCTGATTGTTCTAAATTATACCACACGCGTTCTTATGGAAAGTAGTAAGTTTGACATTCCTTTTAATTGAACTCTCATTTCAGTTGCGGTTTTAAGTACGATACGGCAAATAGTTTCTGTCACTTAGCTGCGACTAACATGGCCAAACAGATTCGTACTTTAGAAGAAAAAATTCAAATCATTGAAGAAGTTGAAAAGAACCCATCTGAGAAAAGAGTTCACATTGCTGAACGCTTGAATTTACGGCCTTCAACATTGAATTCGATTATTTCAAAAAAAGACGAAATTAGGAAGCAGGCTCACAAATGCGGCGCTTTTGCCAAAAGTCGAAAGACAGGTCGTGAATCTACGTACAAAGATCTGGAGACTCATCTGTACGACTGGTATTGTCAAGCTCGTGGATTGCAAATTAAAATCGATGGAACAATTCTTCGGCAAAAAGCCCTGGAAATCGCTTCTTTAAAAGGTGTTGAAAATTTCACTGCTTCGAACGGATGGATTTCACGTTTTAAAGAGCGGCATGGGTTGAAATTCAAAAAATCCCGTGGTGATGGTCCAAATTTGGAAAAAGTCGGCAAACAAGTTAAAAGTAACACTCCATGTGCTGAATTTGAAAAGGAATGGTCTTCAAAATCACGATCTGTCAATGTTTCAATTAATGAATCAGTTTTAAACAAAAATGATGACTCTGGGAAAAATTTGGAAGGATTCTCTGCATCAAATAATTGGATTGACAGTTGGATTGGATACGAAACAAGATAATTTTACATACGTAAGTGTTTTTTATCCCTTTTAAAAAATATACACTTAAGTTTAAGAATTTTAAAAAAAGTAGGTTCGTTTTATAAAAGTTGAAAATTTTAATTTAATTTTGTCCATTTATTGATGGTTTATGCTTTTTTTTTAAAAAAAAGAACTTTAATGTCAGCAATTTAATGAAATTAATATTTTCAACAATATTCAGTTGAAGTTTAACGTCATATTATCAATTTCAGTCAATTTATGACAGAGAAAAAATAATTAAAATATGAACTAATTAATTATATTAGAATAATCTATCAATTTAGTGCGATTATTAAATGAATTTTAATCGATTAGCGATTCATTGTATTTTTTCTATTTATCCATTTTTATTGATAATCAATCTATAATACTTTGGTTAATCAAGAAATGAAACGAAGCTCTAAAATTGCAAATGATAATTTTATTTCTTTAACAGCTTCTATTGATTCAAAATTTAATTGATTACTTAATTCCTTTTTCCAGTTTTTGTAACTAAAATATAAAAAAAATTATTTTTCAACCGTCGTTTAACCCAATGTTCAACTCCGTAGCCTAGTAATTTTGAGCCTGATTCAGTAGACAGGGGCATTTCTGGATCAAGTATTGTGAGAAATTTGCCTTTGTGGAGGATTTTGTTGATGGAACTAACCTGCATTTGTGTTACATTGGGTGGAAAACCACAAAAAACTCCCTAGATTCAATTAGTCTGACGGCAAGGGGACTCTAATCCATGGTCCATGATCCACACCACTGACAATATTTTATGTCAGCACTGTGGTCATCGTGAGCCGGGTGCGGAATTCGTCTCGACCAGCCATCCCTGGGATTTGAACTCGGGTCTACATTGGTAGACGAGCGCTGCTCATAATAAAAATTTTATTTTACAACTGTCGTTGAACAGGCGACCCAAATTTGAGTTTACGACTACCAGTGTTTAACTCCGTAGCCTTGTAATTTTGAACATAATCCAAAAGACAAGGGAACTCCTGGAACAGTAACGCCAGAGGTTTTGATTTGCTGTGGGAGCATGGAGTACTAAGTCACCCCGACAGATTTAACATGCACCAATCACCATTTTAATACACGGGGATACTTTTGTAGGCTGGATTAGTACTCTCGTTCTCTCAAACACAAGTCCAACCCCCTACCAACCAGGCTGTCCCGCCCTATAATAGAAATCTGATAAACTTACTGTATAGAGGGCCGGGATAGCCTGGTTGGTAGGGCTCTAGGCCCATGTCCAAGAGTTCGTGGATCGATCCCAGGCCCATTGAAGACTCCCCTTGCAGTAAATGGTGACTGATGCATGTTAAATCTGTCGAGTCACACAATCCTCCATGATCTTTCTCGTCATCTTCGTTTTATTAGCTCGTGCTTCATTTAATGTCGAAGGTAAACCGAAAGAAATAGATAAAATTAAAAAAAAAAAACAATAAGTAAAGTGATCATATGCTACCAGATTCAAATCATAATATTTGTATCGCATTTTTTTAAAAATATAAATGTCTCGAGATGAAAACCATTTGAAGTTCGAACTGTTATGCAATATAAGGTTATCGTTAGAGATTGATTTCAAAGTAAATTTGTTTTTTCAAGTTGAGTTGATAATTTTTCAAATCTAAGTAATGATTCATTTTGTTGCAATTAACATATTATCAAAAGGTGTTAATAATTAGGCATTTTATAAACAAAATGATTTTTTTTCTTTTTTGAAAATTTTTTGAATTATAAAGAGAAAAAAAGCAAGATGAATGTGTTGCCACCACAGGGGTTAGCGAGCAAGCCCTCCTTAGAACACACAACCCTCCTATTCTTTTGAAAATTGCCTATTCGGCGACATTTTCTGCTGGCATAGTTTAGTGCGTAGTGGAAAATGGTAAGCAAGCATAATGAAAAAGTCATCTTTAAACTTATAAGAATTTTTATTAAGCAAGAAAAATTATAACTAAACTTAGACATCACATAACGAGAAAACAGTCCTCGAGAGTATTCTACTCTCTATAACATGAGGTAACTTAAGTCACTCCATACCGTCATGAAAATCATCAAATCTAATCTTGATTTGTCTTACATATGTACAAGCACATTTAACATCGAATCAAAAAAGAACAACATTTACATAATGAGGGTAGAAAACGTAATACACCTCAAATTAAGTTATAAATTTTGTCTTTTAAATATTTTTAAATGTTCGAACTCCCTCTTTCAGTGGTTTTTCGAACTTGTGATTTCGACTCGCCGTTCTTCTTACTCGAATCTTGTTCTTTGAAATTCGTAGTCTTACATTTTCTAGCCAGGACAAAAAATTATCTAAATCAATACCTTATTCCAACTTTTTACAAATTTTTATGAGCCTAGGTAACTTGACATTAGAGTAAGTTTTTAATATTTAATAGTTAGACCACAAACGCTTCTCTTTTTCTAATAACTGTGGCTTTTCTCAATACTGACGTTTTGCGCCATTTTCAGAATTAGCATACAGATGGCGCTGGCTACAGATGGGCTGAACTTGATCTTACAGTCATGAGTAATTGTTGCAACTCACAACAGTTCCGAAAACAGCTTATTATTAGTATAAAAATATTATTTTAAGCGTCAATACAGAACCATTGAAAAACAACCTTGAAGTGCGTAAGTGGAATTTCATCTTTCTTCCCCATCTGTTCTGTTATTGTCACGATTGCGGCGCCACCTGTCAGACTACCTGGGTGGGTTCTCGGAGCAAGAAAGAAGTGACCTAGCTGGTTCTCGCGTCTGCGCACTTTTTTTTTAAGATAATTGAAATCATAGCGCCATTTTTCTCAGTTGTCGTTTTTGAAGTTTATTACTTGAAGCAGATTGAAGATTTCTTTGTTATACAACGTGAATAAAGAATAATACAACGTGAAGAAAAGTCGTATGATGGAAAAAGAAGAACAGAAACAAGTTTTCAAGTAAGTATCAATATTATAATAGCTTACTTAAGACTGTTCTATGTTAAAAAAACAAATTTTTTAATAAGAAAAAGACAGTTTGTCTTAGACTCTAAGCAAAATTATAATTTAAAAATATATACACCATCTAACCGCAAAGAATTATCTGAGCTTTAGAACAGACAAATAGCTTAAATATTTAAAAAAGAAATAATTTTTTAAAACTTGCTAATTAAGCAGTAATTTTTCAACTTGAAGAAAATTCATAAAAAGTGTTTTTTTGACGATTTTTAAGCCAATGAAAATAAAACATAGTTTAAGTGATTTATATTTGAGGCAAAGCTATAATTTTAAACTACATGTACCATCTTGTTGTAAAGAATTGTCTCTAGGCTTTAGAGCGGACAAATAACTGAAAGATATATAAGATATCAAACTATTTTGATAAAATCGCCAACTTGGCGAGATTTTTTTGCTTTGATGAAAATCGAAAGCAATGAGCATTTTTATGAGCCCAGATAATTTAATGTTGGAGTAACTTTTACAAATATTAAAATATTAGGTCTGAAACGCTTAAAACTCGTCATTTTGACATTTTCGCCATTTTTAGAATTATCATAGAGGGTGCTTCTTAAAGACAAACTAAACTTGGCTTAACAGTCATAAACAACTGTTGTAAGCACACAGCAGTTATGAAAATTGCAATTATTTGCGCAAAAAAAGAGCTATTATTTCATGGGACGAAAAAGCCTTAAATGGTATTTTTAGAGAAAGCGGGAAACTCATTTTTTTAAAATATTTTATTTTATTATTTTATTTATTCATTTTTTATAAACATTCATTTTGTTCAGAGTTTAAAAAAATAAATAAAAAATAGTAGTAAAAAAAAAGTGACGAAAATGTATATATTTTGAAGACTTTTCACTTGCGAACTAACCGAAAAGTACCCCTTAAATATTTATTAAAAGAAACTTTGCAGATAACAATATGTGCTGTAAATTATATATATACATAATGCTGCATAAAATTTTATTGAATTTTTCCTATATAATAGAGCGGCAAATTCTATGAAGTTTTAAAAAAAATTTGCTTATCTTTTAGAACAGTGGTTACCAACTGGCGGCCCGCGGGCCACATCCGGCCCACAAAGCCCTTCTTTGTGGCCCTCGAGCTAAAATATATTTTATAATATAAATATATTTTCATACTTACATTATAAATATATATTTGCGGACAATTTTCGTAAAAAATCTTTATGGGTTTAAAATACTTTTCTTTCGTTAAAAAAAAGCCTAATTTCTTCATTTCTGCGAAATTTAACATACCAACGGTGTAAAAAAATTAATTTCTCAGGTAAAAATTTACTTTGTATTTTGATTTGTAATTCAATTCTTTTGTTTTGTACAACTTGATAAAAATCTGACAGTGATATTTAATGTTCCTAAAAACATAAAAAGAGTCCTATATAAAATTTTAATAAAGTTGCGGCCCCTCGTTTGCCTGGTGTTTTTAATTGCGGCCCCCAGCCTCGTGTAAGTTGGAAACCCCTGTTTTAGAAATTCTTTGAACTGTTATTATCTTTGAATATTATATTTGTATGTAATATTTATACAAATAAAATAGGCATGATAAATGTTATTACAATGTATTTTGATGTTTGATTTTTAGGAAAATCTCTAAGAGGAAAAAGGTAACGTGGCATAAATGCCACGTCTGCCAAGCGACTTCAGCTAAATTTAAGGACAGAAGATTCTTTAGATTTCCTAGTGACATTGAACGGTTAGTTATTTTACGTTTGTTAGCATGATAGAGACTTTTTCTTTGTATGTACAGCAGGTTAATTTCATTACCATCGCCTGTAGGTTTTATTTAAGTTTTATTTTATAAACCGCGTTGAATAGTCGACCAGTTCTGAGTTTACGACTATGAATGTTCAATTCCATAGCCTTGTAATTTTGAACCAAACTCAGAAGATAAGGGAACTCCCTGATCAAGCATTAGAAAAACTATTCTTTGGAGAAGATTCATTGATGATACTAAACCGAATTTGTATTAAATGGGGAGGAAAACCACGAAAACCTACCACTGTTAGCCCGACGGCAAAGGGTTGGGGCGAGCTGGGAGTAGAATTCGCATCAACTAGTCAATGCCGGGATTCGAATCTGGATCAGCTCATTAAAAGGCAAACGTTTCCTTTCCCCTGAGCCACCGCTGCTCGTTGCCTTTATTTATTTTTCTTTTAAATATTTTTTTATAACCGTCGTTGAACGGCCGACTCCATTTTGGGTCTGCGACTACTAATGTTCAACTCCTTAGCCTTGTAATTTTGAACCAATCCAGAAGACAAGGAAACTCCTGGATCAGTATCTTCAGAGGTATGATTTGTTATGGGAACATGGAGGACTTTTTGACTCAACAGATTTAACGTGCATCAGTCACTATTTACTACACGAAGAGTCTTCGGACGGCTGGGATCGAACTCACAACCGCTGTATAATATATATATATACAGTCAAATCCCGCTATGGTGAACCTTCAAGGGACCGAAATTTCGGTTCACTCGCAGGCAATTTCACTAATGGTTCCCAAACTCCTCCCTTTTATTACATTATATTCATATAAATGACTGAAAAATATTATGCAGTAGCAAAAAATAGTGTTATTTTTCATCACTTTTCGTCCTGCGTACAAATAAAAATTAGCAATCTTTAGCTGATGAGCAATCCTCAACATCAGATATGGAAACACTTCCCGACTCTCAGATAATTTTTTTTGAATTTCTGNTTGTATTACATGGGGAGGAAAACCTACCACGGTTAGCCCGATGGCAAAGGGTTGGAGTGAGCTGGGAGTCAATGCCGGGATTCGAATCTGGATCACCTCATTAAAAGGCAAACGCTTCCTCTCCCCTGAGCCACTGCTGCTCGTCGCATTTATTTATTTTTCTTTTAAATATTTTTTTATAACCGTCGTTGAACGACGGCCGACCCCATTTTGGGTCTGTGACTGCTAATGTTCAACGCTGTAGCCTTGTAGTTTTGAACCAATCCAGAAGACAAGGAAACTCCTGGATCAGTATCCTCAGAGGTATGATTTGTTATGGAAACATGGAGGACTTTGTGTGACTCGACAGATTTAGCGTGCATCAGTCACTATTTACTACACGAAGAGTCTTTGGCCGGTGGGTATCGAACTCACAACCGCTATATAATGTATATATATAATTTGTGCTCGTATTTTTATCACAGTTGTTTATAGCTTCGAACAGCTGCCTGGCTATATTATTTAAGCACAAAGATTTCCTTTGTATAATTTTATAAGTTTTTTTAATATTTTGACACGCGTTATTTATCAATTATTTGTTCTATTTAATTCTTTTTCAGATGCAAAGAGTGGATCGAAATTTTAAAGATGACACAGTTACAATCAGTACCTCTGGAAAGTCTCCATAAGCGGTACAGAATATGCTCCATACACTTCAATGACACAGCATATGCTACATCCAAGAGAAAATACTTGAAACAAAATGCTATCCCCATACAGACTGTTGATTTGCATAGCATAAAAATATTAAACGTCGCCCAGATGTCAGAAAAACTTAGAATTAAATTTCAAGCTGCTCTCAGTAGTGCTCCATCGGGAGACGCAGACGGAATTTCATCTAATAATCTTTCAAATTCAACTGAGACCTTACAATTGGTAAGAGTATCCGTTTCGATATTAACGTGTTGAATGCCATGCTAATTTAACGTGTCTTGCCCGTCTGGCCACAACGGTAAATAACTACAAACTAAATTTGCAAATATTAGGCAGATTTTACTACCACTTGAAAATATTTATTCGCTGTCCGGTGCAAGTTGGCATCTTGTGTATAAATAAAACTATTTTTGTGTGTTCTATATTGTATTAATTTCTTCAAACCATTTTAGTAACGATAATAATATTAAAAAAGTAAAAATTTACTCGAATTAGGTGTTTCTAATAATATTGGCTTCGCCGGTCACCGGTGACCTCCGTGACGCTCGGTCGCCGGTAACGCCAATGGCATTCAACGTGTTAACTCATCTCATGTGTCTTTAAAAAAAAAAACATGTCTTTATTGAGTAGATTCCTTTTTCGAACTCTGTAACAAACAGTTTAGAACACGTTTGACGCTTCTGGTTAAAGATTTGGGGTCACTGGTTCGATTTTCTATTCGACTACGCTACTCGCGTATGCAAAATGAAACTGAGAACGTCATAATAACTTTTAATCGAATAATTGAATTTTCACGTACTATGATGCAATTTTTATGATTCATGAGGCTAACATTTATTATGCTAATTGATTTATGCAGACTTTGTTTTAAGGAAGGAAATCAGACACAAAAACTCTATGGAATAAACCTGTTTTTTTCCCCCTACACCTGATTTGGATTTTAGATTAATCTGGAAAATATACTCCCAAAAGTTTAGACAGAAAAGCGTTCGGGAATATTGAATCAAAAGTTTTATTTAAGATGAATAATTTAGAAAAGATTCAGTTACGATGTTTTATTTTGCGTATTGTTTATGTTATGGGAATTGCTTGTTCTTGCACAAATAGTATGCAATGAAAATTATTTATAAGGGAATCTGATTACAAAATGGCTTCCATCCATTCTTTTTCTCCCTGTCTCAATATACAATGATTTTTAAGTAAGAAGTTTCTTTAAAATAAACGAAATAAAATAAATCCCTCATAATGCCTCAAATTTTGATTGGGTGACGACTTTATATTTTACATGCATCGAAATATATAATGCCGAATAGAATAAATATCCATCACCAGTATATTTGTGAAAATTAAATGAAAAGGATTAAAACGTATTTAATATTCCCCTCCCTTTGTGATCAGTTGAGATTGTTTTTCGAAAACTTCGCCGTCATATGAAATAATGTTTTTTTTTCTCTAATAACATGCTATTTCCATAATTGCTGTGAATTTAAAATAATTACTCATGACTGTTAGGATAAGTTTAGCCTATCTAAAGCTAGAACTGTGCATGTTTATTTTGAAAATGAGGCAAAACGTCAATATGGGGAAAGTTTTGTGAAAATAAAAATCGTTTATGGTCTAATTTTTTAATATTTAAAAACTTACTCCAATGCTGCATTACTTGGGCTATTGTTGGTCATCTTTGCCAGCAATAAAGTTGCATTGTTCTTGAAAAGAGAAGGTAAATACAATGAAAGACAAAAACAATTAGCTGTAACTATTTTCGCAAAAAAAAAATTGAAACATTGCCGTTTTAATTTTTAATGACATCACCTTAGGGTTACCAAAATTTTGTTTACCGCTATGTATGGTTAATTTTTTCTTACATTTATTGGTTTATTTTCAAATCGAAAAATATTAGGCGGTCTCTGTTTGTAAACTACTACTAAACTTACTTAAACATATTAACTTTTGGCACCTATTGTGAAAGTTTTTGTGTGTTTTCATTGATAGCATTTAATTACTGAACAAATCGAATTCGAAGTTAGCATCTGAAACACAAAGAATTGCTCAGTAATTAACTGACATTTTATTTAATTCTAAAATAACTGTAATATACTTTTCATAAGCTTGATTCCATACCTTAAAAATTTTAATTTATAATTGGGTACTTACATCGAATAGTTGAATGTTAATGAGTAAAAAACAACAACATCAAAATAAAAGTGAGTCACAACAAGATTTTGATCTACTTTAATTGGGCTGAAAATTTAAACTGTATGCGTATGATTTAATCTACTGTCTGACTAATGGCCAATAAGAATATTTATACATCGACTTCTCTGATGGACTAATCTGAATCTGCACATCTACTGCTATTTGGCGGGTCTAAATCTATATATCTGCTGCTGGTTAACCAGTCTGAAAAAGGTCTAAATCTATGCATCTGCTGCTATTATACCATTCTACATATATACATCTGCTGTTCGACCAGTCTGATTTCATTTTTTATTTGTTTAGTTATAATTATTCTTTTTTATAACGATTTTCATGTTTATGTACATGTAATTTTTTTTTGTCTGTTTTTATCTTTATATTTTTCACTTCGCTGACAAAAAGGGACATTACAAAGGCAATTTTAGTTTTTTCATTTATTTTTTTTTTTTGTTCGGTGTTTTTTTTTATTTAGTGTCTTTTGTGCACATAAACAACGCCAGCCTTTTTAAGTAACTTGATGGTGTACACACTATACGTCTCCTTTCACTAGTTGTTTTTTTTCTTCCGTTTCTCTCTGCTAGATGTTTATCTCCGTCTTTAGATCTTCCTTTCATCTCGAAGTTTCTTTGAACTAGATGTTTATTCCAACTATTTCTTTTTTTCCACTGGATGTTTTTTTTCTCTCCATCAGATGTTTCTTATCTATGTTTAATACTTATGTCTATACATAAACATGTAGCAGTTTGAGAACATTTAAAATGTGTCGATTAAAAAGAATAAGGCCGAATTATTATGTAGCTACTATATTACGTATGCTAGAATAAGGTAATAAAATACTTTGATGATGTAGGTAAGAAAATACGTAAATCTTTTATGAAACTGAATTTTATAATTTAAAAGTCAGGTATAAGCGCTACCTGAAATGCTAAAAAAAAGCTGGATATTGATTACCTAGAATATAAATTTTGAAGTTGTGGCAAAGTTTTGGGTAATTTTGTCGTAAATTGTTTCAAACAGCTACATGTTTTTGTGAAGACATGAGTATCAACATTGATGTTAAATCAGCCTTTTCAGATCAACTTTTTTCCATTCTCCTTTTCATTAAGCTTTTTCATTCTCCTTTCCATCCTCCTCTCCATCCTCCTTCCTCTTCTCTCATCTTGATACAACATTCTCAAAAATTTAAACGTTTGAAAAATCTCTTAATCTTCCTTAGTTCATTCGAAAAATATTTCTGACTTATACTGCACTCATGTTTACGCGTAATAAGTGTTTTAGATGTTTGTTTTATATATTTGTTCGAAATATCGTATTTTTTAGTAGAAATCGAACAACTGTAAACCGATCGTCTTTTTAATTTGTCAAACTACCATATTTTGCTTGTATTTCACGTATGCAAATTGATTTAAGAATTCACGCTTGTTTTATAAGAAAACAAAGAAATATCTTACACATTTTTTTGTAAGAAGTATTTTATTCAACCTTATTATCGTATTTAAAAAAATTTAATAATTGCATTTATCATTTTAGATTCTAAAAAAATGCTGTTATTTCTTTGAAGAATAATTTTTATAAATAAATATTCATTCATTAAAAGCACCGGTTGATATATTTTGTGTTTAAATTCATGGCGTCTTTATTTCAATGTTTGTAAGCAAGGTGTCCAAAATGACAAATGATTGGAATAAAAAAAATAGAAAAGAACGAAATTTACTGTTTGATGCGTGTTGCTCAGAAAACTAGGTATTATATTCTCATCGAATTTTAAAATTAGATACAAAATTCAACAGCGGATAGCGCTGCTAACTAAAACAAATTCTCTGTTATTTACAGAATGTGAAATCTTTTCAACTTTAATATTTGTATTGCCGTCAGTTAATTTTGTTCTCAGACTGCACGACATTGTTGCTGTAAATGAGCGTTATTTTTTTAAAAAAAACATTGTTTTACATTTTTTCATAGTAAACTGCGCCATCTGTTCTCGGATTTAGAAACTAGTTTTGAAATTTGATGAGAAGAAATTTTATCGTTTTCTAAACAGAGCTCAGTAAATTTTAAATTGATTTTTTCAAATCGTCTGACTCATACGAAACTTTCGTATTTATATATTTAATAATTACAAATTATAATTATATATTCGTATAATTATAAATTTATTTTTTTTTCAATATTTTATGTCTGACGCAATATAGCCTGATCTTACTTTTACAGCTTTACACCCGACATACAATACAATCAAAAGTTATTCTGCTATTGCTCGCTTTTTAACTGCTTCGTTAACTTTATTTATAGCAATCGCCTAATTTTTTTTAACTGTGCATTACATAAAGATACAAAAACATATGATATGCAAAATGATATGATACACATGATACGCAAAAGCATGCCACGAAAACGCAGTACCAGATTATGCTCAGTTTTCGTGACACATAAACGAACAAATAAGAGATTCTCTTGTTTTAAATCCAATTTATTTCACTTTAACGTATTACTTGCTGTTCTTCACTAATTTATTTTCATTCTTATTTTCAGTATAAAGAAGGGATGAATAGTACATCAGAACAGAAGAATGATGATCAAAATTCCACTGGAAATGAAGAGGCTATTATTCCAGATGTGGAAATGCAGTGTTCTGAGAGTACAGAGATGGAAACACAAAATATCGCTTCGACAAATTTCTCGGACAATTCGGACATCGTCATAAAACAAGAAATCATCGAAACAGAACTAGAACCTAGCACATTCGATGATTCATCATTTCATTCGTCGTTCGCCGATGGTCCTTCCGAAACTCATATAGATGGACAGAGGCCAAGCACATCTTATGCGACACATTCGGAATCCTCATACTCTAATACAGATATACTTCCAGATGGACAACCTTATGGTGTTGGAGAAGATTCAACGCCGTCTCAAGGTTTGGGAACTGTGAAAGTTGAAACTGCTGTTTCTTTCAATTCTAGCGGCGTTTCTGATAAAAATGATCCATCTTCCTCAATTTTAAATGCCTCCGAAAGCTCTAAGAGGGATAAATCTATGCAACCTAGTGTTTCTCATTCAGTTATAAATGTTACTCGTTCGGAAAATTTACCAATTATTGAACATGGAGTTTCGTCTCATACAGGGTCCTCTTCTTTGCCTCAAGGTTTAAATAACTCTGGCCATGGACGTGCATTCAATAATGAGTCAACCCAACCTGAAGTTCCGTCTTATTCAAGCCAGTCATTCCGACCTAGAGACAACTTTGACGTATTTGGGGAATTTATCGCTTCAAAATTACGAAATCTGGATCCGAAATCCAGGGATTTCGTCCAGAATACTTTTGCAGACCTCATATCTAAAGCTGAATTAGGGATGTTTTCAAACAAAGACTATAGAAGTATTTCTGCTACTCAATCTCAGGACAGATCCCAATTTCCCAAGGGATCTGAAAATGCCCAAGCTTCATCAGGAAAAGAGAACATCCAACCTGTAATACCTTCTCATATGAAAAGTCCACACTTACCTTCAGATTTTAGCATTCTTTCTCATGAAAGCTCATCGTTAGATAGGATTAATCAACCTTCTCATATAAAGAAGTCATCATTCCCACCTTTAATCAATAACACAATAACCGAACCTATCCAATCAACAGTTACGTCTAATGTAGAAAGCCTGTGGCCTCCAGGTTTAAGCCGTTCTTTTTCTGAAATCACACCAACGTTTAATCCAACCCAAAATAGAATCTCATCGCATGCAGTGCTGCCACCTGTACCTCCAGTTTTAAATGCTGCAAACTCGTGGTGCAATATGCCGATACAGCCTAAAGTTCCGTTTCACCAGCGATCCAGGGATGAATTTGACATTTATGGAGATTTCGTCGCTTCGAAATTGCGAAAACTAGATCCAAGATCGTGTGTCTTCGTTCAAACAGCTTTTGCAGATATCATATTTAAAGCTGAGTTGGGAAGATTTGTAAGAGAAGGCAACAAATCGAACGATTTTCTTCAAAATATGCATGCTACAAATGCTGTTGGTTCACAAAAAAATATAGTATCTAATTTGTCCAGCTATGAAGGACAGCGCCGATTCTGCTCTACGTCCTCAGAATTGTGTGATGATCAAGTTCCTCTCGAAATGATACCCAATATGCATTCTATTCGAAAATAACTCATGATCACGTAAGTAATAATTTACGTCAGCCAAATAATGCCAATAATAACGCCAAATTCCTGATTAAACAGTTTGTAAATAGTTCCTAGCCTATTTCATATCGTCCTAGCTTAAATTCGTTCAGCAGGTAATCATGTTCAGTTTTTAATTGTAAATATCTAGGCTGTCATTTATTTTGTATTAAGATGCATTAAAAATATGTTTTAAAAATGTTGAGTCTTTTTAATGCTTGTTTGCTTACTATTTTTATGTTTAGGCTTATTGTTATTATTTTTTTTTTCCATAAATAACTTCCTTGGGTATTTCTCAGTGTAAGCATGGCAGAGATTTAAAAAAACTTAAAGCTTCGACAACGATTAAGTTTAATTCACTGTAAAAATTTTAGAGTAAATTTGTAATTCTGTTTGGTGGCAGGGAATCAAATCAACATAAATGATTGCTAAAGTTTATTATACCTTAAAAGATTTTTTGTTCAACCAAAAGAACCAATTCTGCAAACTCATGATGGCAACTTAATCTATCTAACAAAAAAATAAAAAAAATTTTAATTGTTAGGAAAAAAAAATAATAGCATAAAATTTTAAGTAGATCTGTCACTTTATAATATTTTAAACAAATGGCAGTAATAGATAAGTAATGTTACCTTGTAAATGATTTTTAGAAAAAGGAATTTAGATTTTTGATGCATGACCAAACAAATAAAATACAAACCTCGCTATTATTTTACCCCGAAATTGGATAAAATTAAATACTCTGATTTTTTTCTTTTCTTAATATGTCCCACAGTGGACTCATTTAGAAACCTGGACGATTCTTAAGATTAACTTGTCCCACTGTGGACTCATTTAGAAACCTGGACGATTCTTAAGATTAGCATGTCCCACTGTGGACTCATTTAGAAACCTGGACGATTATTAAGATTAACACGTCCCACTGTGGACTTATTTAGAAACCTGGTCGATTCTTAATATTAACATGTCCCACTGTGGAATCATATACCCGAATAGAATAGGAACCTGGGACGATTTAAGTTTATCTACCTTCGAAAAATTGATCATGAATATTTCTTCTACAATGGTAATAAAGGATTCAACATAGTTGCTGAGACACGGTTCCCAGTAGAACTTCAAAGTCAAACACCACTGGCTGTGGTCAATGTGTGATGGAACGAATATTGCAGTGGTCATTTTTTTAAGTATTAATATTCATTGATATTTATTTGCAGTCTTATGTGCTTAACGTTGCACATCTAGATTTTAAAAAGAGCTAAAATATAATAGGAAAAATGAAAATTAGATTACAGGCTCAAAAATGGCACGAGTACTTCAGTGCACGAGCTTGTGACTTTTTATGATCTAATCACAATTCGGAACTCCTTAATCTCTCTCTTTCTGAAAAGATTCTAATGTTTTAAAGTATTTTTTATAAAATTCAAACCATTCTTTAGTTCAATCATAGGATTTGGCTATTTATCTTTGTATTTTTTTCTGGAATATCCTCTACAACTTTTTCTAGATGAAAGTGTACTTGGTAGATACTTTGCTTACGTCACAACTAGAGCTGCGCAATGGGTTATTGGTGACGGTCTGAAAAACATGCTGAGGATGATCCGAAGACCTGCCATCATAATTTTTGCGAGGTTAGTTCCTCGGTTTGGACATGTGAAGAAAGGGGAAGGAAATTTACTCCAGATCCCTGTACTCATGGGTACTGCTCAGCAATCGACCATAGGATTTCCGACTCCACAGATTTTATGACATTGTATATCGCTTGTACTCGGTGGATCTTAGCAGATGATCCTCGATGGATCTCCGGGCTAGGGTTCGATTCTTTAAACCCTTGGCTACCACGCCCCTTTGCACTTACTTATGTGGCACATGTTGACCTTTTAAAAATAACGATGTTGTCTTTAGAAAGTTATTTGAAGTCTGTAAAATTCCTACTCATACTCAGTCCACCCGCAGTGGACTGATCGTTAAGACACAGTTCCCAGCAGATCACTGAAATCAAGCATTACTGGCTGCCGTCAGCGTGCGGGTGGGTGACCACTTGGATCAGTCTGTGTAGGGACAAAGGGTGTGCGGTATTGGTCCTCGTTAAGCTGTTCTACCGTAAAGTGCTCGACTTCATGCGCGGGCTACTGAACAGGGGGTGCCATCCCCTCTGCAGAGGATCAAAATTGTGATTGCATGTCCTTGGATCATCCTCAGGGATGTTTCCCAGACCGTCGCCAATAGCCCATTGTTCAGCTCTAGTGCGACGTAAATGAGCAACAACAACAACCTACTCATACTGTATCGAAAACAATAGCGCATGCATTCGCAGACTTATGTGCCCATCACAAAGTGTGGCCTATAAGCCCTAGTCTAGTTGTAAAACATATATCACAAATTATAGAAGACATCAAGAAGGTTGCCGTGGGATTCGAACCCGCTACCATCACACTATGGTGCGTTGGGCAGAATGACAAGACTTCTCAGCCAGTGAAGTCTCTTTTTCGAATCAAATGTTTCAAGTTGTTTATCATATTTTATTGTGCAAGTAATTTTGTTCATTATATTTAATTATATACTTATTCTTTATAATTTAATAAATAGCTATCCATTATATATTTTAAGTGTATATTTCATTATAAAAGTTATTAGTTATATAATTTAACTGATTGGACTTCTAAAAAATGTTTCTTTCTTAATCTCCACTATTCAACACATACATGGAAAAAAAAAGTTAAAATTCCCTTAANACTCATTTAGAAACCTGGACGATTCTTAAGATTAACATGTCCCACTGTGGACTCATTTAGAAACCTGGACCAGTCTTAAGATTAACATGTCCCACTGTGGACTCATTTAGAAACCTGGACGATTCTTAAGATTAACATGTCCCACTGTGGACTCATTTAGAAACCTGGACGATTCTTAAGATTAAGAAGATTATTTATATTCACTGATATTTATTTGCAGTCTTATGAACACTAACGTTGCACATCTAGATTTTTAAAAAGAGCTAAAATGTAATAGGAAAAATGAAAGTGAGATTATAGGCTCAAAAATGGTACACAGTGTTGCGCGAGTAATTCAGGGCACGAGCTTGTGATTTTTTATGTTCTAATCACAATTCGGAACCCCTTAGTCTCTCTCTCTCTCTCGCTCTTTCTGAAAAGATTATAATATTCTAAAGTAGTTCTTAAAAAATTCAAACATTTCTTTAGTTCAATCATAGGATTTGGCTATTGATCTTTGTATTTTATTTTTCTAGAGTATCTCCTACAACTTTTTCTAGATGAAAGTGTACTTGGTAGGTACTTTGTTTACGTCGCAACTAGAGCTGCACAATGGGTTATTGGTGACGGTCTGATGTTGTAGTTGATGTAGTTCATTTGCGTCGCACTAGAGCTGCACAAAGGGCTATTGCTGACTGTCTGGGAAACATCCCTGAGGATGATCCGAAGACACGCCATCACAATTTTGATCTTCTGCAGCCCGCTTCGGTAGCCCGACGACCTGCACGTGAAGTCGAGCACTTTACGGTAGAACAGTTTAACGAGGACCAATATCGCGCACCCTCGTTCCCTACGCAGACTGATCCAAGTGACCCACCGCACAATGACCGCAGCCAGTGATGCTTAACTTCGGTGATCTGCTGGGAACCATGTCTTAAAGATCAGTCCACTACGGGACAGGTGACGGTCTGAAAAACATGCTAAGGATGATCCGAAGACATGCCATGATAATTTTTGCGAGGCTAGTTCCTCAGTTCAGACGTAGGAGGAATGAGGAAGGAAATTTACTCCAGATCCATGTACTCATGGGTACTGCTCAGGAATCGACCCCAGGACTTCCACAGATTTTACGACATCGTATATCGCTTGTACTCGGTGGATCTTAGCAGATGATCCTCGATGGATCTCCGGGCTAGGGTTCGATTCTTTAAACCCTTGGCTACCACGCCCCTTTGCACTTACTTATGTGGCACGCGTTGACCTTTTAAAAAATAACAATGTTGTCTTTAGAAACTCATTCTCAATCCGTAAAAATCTTACTCATTCTCAATCCGCCAGCAGTGGACTGATCGTTAAGACACGGTTCCCAGCAGATCACCGAAGTCAAGCATCACTGCCTGCGGTCAGCGTGCCGGTGGGTGACTACTTGGATCAGTCTGTGTGGGGACCAAGGGTGTGCGGTATTGGTCCTCGTTAAACTGTGCTACCGTAAAGTACTCGACTTCACGTGCAGGTCGTCGGGCTACCGAAGCGGGCTGCAGAAGATCAAAATTGTGATGGCGTGTCTTCGGATCATCCTCAGGGATGTTTCCCAGACCGTCGCCAATAGCCCATTGTTCAGCTCTAGTGCGACGTAAATGAACTACAACAACATCCTACTCATACTCTATCGAAAACAATAGCGCCATCAAGCGTCACTTTTTTACAACAGTACAACGGTGCTGCTATACAGCGTGGATAAGCCCAATGGTTTGAGCTGGCTTGCCTTGGTTGTCCGTTTTGCAGAGATATATCAAATTATGAATACAAAAACTTTAAAAACAGTTTTCATTACTTTTTGACTGCTCAATATTTATTTTATGTATTTATTGTCACACATGCATTCGCAGACTTATGTGCCCATCACAAAGTGTGGCCTATAAGGCCTAGTCTAGTTGTAAAACATATATCACAAATTATAGAACACATCAAGAAGGTTGCCGTGGGATTCGAACCCGCTACCATCACACTATGGTGCGTTGGGCAGAATGACAAGACTTCTCAGCCAGTGAAGTCTCTTTTTCGAATCAAATGTTTCAAGTTGTTCATCATATTTAATTGTGCAAGTAATTTTGTTCATTATATTTAATTATATACTTATTCTTTATAATTTAATAAATAGCTATCCATTATATATTTTAAGTGTATATTTCATTATAAAAGTTATTAGTTATATAATTTAACTGATTGGACTTCTAAAAAATGTTTCTTTCTTAATCTCCACTATTCAACACATACACAACAATATTCAACACATACTTATATATTTTTCCCGTCAATATTTTTTTTAAACAATTTTATAAAGATATGGGTAGATGTGTACTATATTTAATTGCACTAGCTATTTGCGACGGTCTGGGAAACATCCCTGAGGATGTTCAGGCGGAGACATGCAATCACAATTTTGATCCTCTGCAGAGAGGATCTCGTTTGTGAGGCCACTCCCTTA